CTGTTTATTTAAAACACAGACTGAGCACGATTGTTTATATATAGGTTCGGTGGATGGACTCTTCATGATTGAGTTATATGGACTTTTCTACTACATCAAATTTTTGCTGGATTTATGTATTCTGATGTATTATGTTATTTAACAATTTAATAGTTTGGGTTATGCACTTTATTGAATTGTATAATTGATGTACTTAACAGCACAACACAGTTAGTTTTATTAATTATTATTATTATACGGGGGGTTGATTTACTAAAGGTAAATGGGCTATGCACTGAAAGTGCAGTTACTCTAGATCTAAGCGGAACATGCAAAGAAAATTAAAAAAAAAACTGCATTTTTACTTGCACATGATTGGATGAAAGAAATCAGCAGAGCTTCTCCTCATTTCAGAGCTTCCTCTCTGATCTAAAGCAATTGCATTTGCAGTGCACAGTATATATACCTTTAGTAAATCAAACCCAGGATTTATATAGCGCCAACAGTTTCTGCAGCACTTTACAATATAAAAGGAGACAGTACAGTTACAATACAAAGAAAAAGAAGAGGTTCAAGAGGGCCCTGCTCATAAGAGCTTACAATCCTATAGGATGTGGCAAGTGTTACAAAAGGTTATGACTGTGGGGGTTGAGCTCATGGAAGTGATAAATGTATAATTTGAGGCATGATAGGCTTCCCTGAAGAGAAACATTTTCAGGAATCGATGATCAGGAGTAGGGGATAGCCAGACAGATTGAGGTAGAGAGTTTCAGAGAGATGAGAGAGGCTCTGGCGAAGTCCTGGAGTCAAGCATGGGAGGAGTAAACAAGGGAGCTTGAGAGCAGGAGATTGACAGAGCGGAGAGGACGGTTTAGGCAATATTTGGAGAAAAGATTGGTGATGTAGCACAGGGCAGAGTTGTGAATGGCTCTGTATGTTGTTGTTAGCATTTTGAATTTAATTTGCTGGCCAATCAGAAGCCAGTGGAGGGATTGGCAAAGAGGGGAAGCAGACAATGAGCTAATCAGTTCATGTCTTGACAAACAGTATGTTGACTGTAGAAGAAAGCACAGTGATAGAAAGATGAGGTCACCACCTTGCTGCTTTTCCTTCACTGTCCACTACAGGCTTAGGAAAGTCCATAAAGGCCTGGGCTCAGAGGAAGTGGGTTGAATGAGGATGACTGCTATTCAACCTAGAAGACTGCCTAAAAAGAAGTACTGCAGGGGACAAATTTGGATTAAAGGGGAGCATTTTATTTCATCTTTTAATGGGCTTCTCATTTTTATATTTGCCAGTTTTACTTTATAGCAGAAATCGAGGCTAAACAAAACATTGTCTAAATACAAGAGTCATGTGTTTTCATGGTTGAATCTTGGTGTGCTTTTTGTATTTCTTCCAAATGTGTGCAATAAGCCAGAATGAAACAACTGCAGTCTGCCTCTGTGCAAGAGGTTCCTGTATTAATAAGTCACTGCTGACCTCTCACATTGCGCAGGGCTGCTGGTCTTGTATCCACCCCGCTCTTGTAGCTTTCTGGAGAGGGTGGGGCCTGCTGGGTCCCTTCCACAGTTCTACTCTTTGTACAGCATAGTCACTGCTTTTAAAAAGTTTTCAAAGGCATTTGGTCTAAATTTGATATCGTATCCTTTTTTGTAGCTATTGAAAAAATCTCATCTAGTAACAGATGCAAGCAAATGGTGTTGGGAAGCTCAAACCCAAACTGAGGTCATCACAGAGGACAAGGAGGCACACTTTACACCTGGAGGAAAAGAAATTTAATCTCCAAACACGGAAAGGTTTCTTCACAGTGAGAGCTGTAAAAATGTGGAATAGACTCCCTCAAGAGTTGGATCTGGCCAGCTCAGTGGATTGCTTTAAAAAAGTCCTGGATTCTTTCTTGGATACACAGAATATAACTGGATATAACATTTATAGGGAAAGTTGATCCAGGGAATATCCGATTGCCTCTCGGGGGATCAGGAAGGAATTTGTTTTCCTGCAGGAGCAAATTGGATTATGCTTTGCTGGGGTTTTTTTTTTGTCTTCCTCTGGATCAACTGTGGGTATAGCATTATAACTTTTTTTTTTTAATGGTTGAGCTGGATGGACTTTTGTCTTTTTTCAGCCAGACTATGTAACTATGTAACATACAAGGGGATTGGAGTGCTAGTTGAAGAAAGGAGCACTCGGTAGCCAGGAAATGACAACGGTGCTACAGCATAATCTTACATTAATCACCAAGGAGGCACCAGGATCAACAAAAAAACTGACTTAGGACATTTTATCTTGAGCTGAAGAGTGTATAATGGTGTTGTATATATTTTATTTATATTTGTAATCATTTTTTTAGGTCAGGTAGGTATACAATATTGCACATTTAAAATATTTTAATATCCATTCATCTTTTGTATTCTCGCATTTAGCCAACAGGTAGAGCTTTAGCCTCCTTTTCAAGTTTTCCATAGATGCATTAGCTCCTTTGCTGTTTACAGAGCTTAGTAGCTCAAGCTTTCCACACAAAGGCTTTGTTTATTTAACATTTTTTCTCATATTAGGAAACATTCTGATATACTGAATCTTTGTTACAATTGGGGTCAAACATGGGAAACTAGAGAAGAGAGAGGAAGCACAGGCCAATACGATGAGACCACATTAGTTGTCTCTTCCTTTTTTACTTACTTCTGGACCACAAAGAGAAACCGCTTGTGGGCAGGCATATCTACAGTAATGTGCAGAATGTGCCAACATGATTTTCCATTTTTCAGAAAATAAAGAAGTGTGGAAAGCTAGTGTAGATACAAAGAGTATTTAAATAACTTCTTTGGGAAACTTGATTACTCTTAAAAGATAACTAAACTCAAGAAAAAAATGTAATATATTGCAGATTACCAGTCCTTAGATGCAGTGACTGCATTTGTTTTCTTTTTCTTTCAGTTTTTTTTCTCCTTTATTTTCACCTGCTGATCCTGCCAGTAACACATCCTAGGGCAGGGATGTCACACTGGTGGCCCACCATGCCTCTGCCTTTGGGAGTCATGCTTGTAACTGTCAATCTTGCAATGTCTCATGAGACTTGTAGTTTGGCAACAGCTGGAGGGCCACCAGTTTGACACCAGTTTCGTAGGATGACAAGGCTCACTCGCTGTACTGTATCTCCTGGAGGAGCAGTGGTGTCACCCCATCCACTGATCTGACTTACAAATACATCTGTCTTTCTTTATTTTCATTTCATGGGGGCAGGGGGACTTGTAGTGTAAAAAACAATAGCTTGCCTTAGGCAAAAGGTAAGATTGTTTATAATGCTTCCAGTTCAGCTCACAGGAAGTGACAAGTACACTGCAATTCTGGCATGCTCAACAGGTATTTTCTATACTTGCTGAAAAAGGAAAACTAACACATCCACCACATCTGAGGACCGATTAGCTTTAAAATATTATTGTAGCATGCTCTAGTGTGCTAGTAGAATAGTGTAGTGTACTGTAGGTAAAATCATTGTGTACAACTCATGGTAATTGTGTGAGTCTGTGACTGAGGTTGGGTTATTGCAGGTCAGCTGGATGACTCTATCACCTCCTCCTGACTCTGGAGGATCACAGAACTTTCCAGATGTTGGTAAGCAGACCTGCTCTGCAAGTTCATGGGAGTGCCAGGCTTGGGAGACCCTAGTAGAGTGGTGGACTGGCCCATAAATATGGGAGAGTCAGGCTGACATGGAGTCAGGTGGAAGATGGAGTGCTGAGGAGACTGTCGGTGCCTGGTAGGAATCCCCTAGGTCCGGGGGAGGGGTGGGGGGATCTGGGGGCAGCCTCCAGGCTGGGCTCAGGCTGGCTCAGGAGGATACATTCAGCAGTGAGGCGCGAATGGGATGAAGACCTGGAGCAGCACAGAGCAAGGAGCACAGTGTGAGGTCAGCAGCACACTCTGGGATCTACAAGGGGAAAGACTGCCACATGTAACAAGCTTTCTAAGTACAGCACTGGGCTCAATCCTTTATGCTTGTCCCAGGAGGACTGGTAGTGTCTGCAGGCTGTGGAGCTGGGAGCAGCTCTAGAGGGGGAGAAGTCTTTGCATGTAGCTACGAGAAGTTGAGTTGATTTTTGAGGGGCTGCTAGTTCCTCGCCCATGAAGGACTGCTGCTACTGATGCAACGACTGGAGGCTTTCAGGAAAAGAACAGTCCAGGATCAGCCTTTGTACATAGGAAGGAAGAGTCCCCTTCCACTGATTCAAGCCAAGTTGGGCATCCCATAATACCTATTTCCCTATCCAAGTTGAATTCCCCTAACAAAATAACAAAACTAAGCCCTTGGACTGTTCACTGTCTTTGTCTGTGTGAAAAAAACCTGTTGCCTGTCTGTGTGGAGGGAAGATTAGGGATACCCATTACTCAGCGGTCCTCATGAGGGTAGCGCTGCATTATATTTATGTTCTTCAGTTTAAATATCTTTTAAGAGACATTATTTTACCAAAAGAAAAAAGTTTGTAACTAGATATTTAGTATGTACTACAAAGGAACTCTTGAACACTCACATTCTTCACTCATCTATATGCTGAAGAACACCTCTTCTAGGTGACAAAAGCTTAATATTGGAATGCTAAACACAACCTATTGCATGCATTAAAGGGAATCTAAAGTAAAAAAAACACACACTAGATCCACTGGTACCTCAAAAAGCCGACCTTCCCAAAACATTTCTTCTCAGGGCTCATTATCTGTTCTTTCTGTTAGCTGTGGTGAAGGACCAGATTTGTGTAAGGTGGAGGATGTAATTGGTTCTTCAGAAGGAGCCAATCATAACCTACACCATACAGGGATCCAGCCCTCCGTTGCTGTTGGCATAAGAGGATGTGAGGGCATGACTTGGGACCCCACTTTAGGAAGTATAGGTTTGGGGCAATTCAGGGGCCATTCTTGTAATGATAGCCTCAAGGGGGAATCAGAAGACTATTTTTGGCTTTACTTCTTGCTTTAAATAAATATACACAAAACTATTTTAGGCAAAAAGATCCCACACTCACAGGGCAGATGTTTTCTCTCCAGTGTAAATTCCCACACTTGCGAAACCTCTGAGGTCTTTTCCGGCAAAGATAAAATCATCGGATTCTGTAATTAATTCAAACATTTACTATTATTACTACTTACAGTTATTCAAGTTTTGATTAAGCTGTAAATACAGATTACAAATGTACAAAATTAATAACCATACACCAGAATGTTTACAGTGGGTCATTTCCTTGGAGTGGCTGGAAATATTACAGTCATATGTGACTTTTCATCTTAATATAATCTGTATATTATAACAGAGATTGCAATCAATAACTGGAACTCAAAATTTGTTAAGCGCACATAGACATAACACTAGAGAAGGATCAGGAGAAAAAATATGGAGTAAGGATACAGGAGATAACATTTTTATTTGAGGCCATGTATGGTAAACTATAACCTGAGTAGCTACAAGTTGGTCATGAAAACATGCACATGTACCTATGGGTAGTTTGTACAATACAGGAGTATGTACTGTACACTGGCCAAAAAATTGTTGACACCTGACAGTCACAAATGAACTTGGGCTGTCAAGACTGGGATCTGAACCCAAATCCTCTGCTGCATTCGGCAGTAGCTCTTCTTGCTGAGCAACCAGAGATGCTGGACAGAATCCTGTCTGATTCCTTGGATAATCTTGCCTTGTCCCTTGTTTCTGGTGAACCTTGAACCTTTTGTTCCTCCCATGAACTTCCTATTTAAGCCATGTCTTTGCACTTTCTGTTTGCCAGATTATTTTTCTCTCTCCAGCAGACATCTTTTTCCTTTGCGTACTTGCAGCTGTCCTTATCTCCACTACCACTCGCTACTGACCTTTGGCATCCGCTTGCTCCCAACCTGCAACCATTCATTATCAACCTTGGGATTGTGCCTCAACTATGGCTACGTAGATTGCAACCACTTGTTACCGACCTTTGGCTTGTTTACTGACTATGCTTTTGCTTGGTCCCTACCTGCTCTATATGCTACTGGACCTTAGCTTGCTCACCTCCTTTTGGGCGATCTTGAGGACCAAAACCTGGCACTAACACTCAGCAAAACCTATCTCCGCCATCAGGAGCTCTGATGAATACTGGTTAGAACTTAGACCAAGCACTTCGGTGGGCCTGTCTCATCTGATCTGCCAATGTGACCTGCTTGTGTACTTATCCATCTGATCAGTGTAAGCCTTTCTGCTGCTATCGCTACTGGTCTCTGAGCCTCACCCATGACTGTGACATGAGCATTCCTTTTCAAAACCATTGACATTAATATAGGAGTGACCCCTCCCCCTCAGCTTTGCTGTTATAATGGTCTCCTCTATTTTGGAAAAGCTGTTCACAAGATTTTGGAGTGAGTTTGCTCAGTCAGCCCGAAAAGTATTTGTCATGGTCAGGAACTGATGTTGGATGAAGAGGCCTGTTCAATGAGGTCAGTGCCCTGTGCAGGCCACTCAAGTTCCTGCTGAAAACAGAAAATGGCCTTCCCAAAATGTTGCCACAAGTTTGGAAGAGCACAATTTTTCTATTTCAATGGTTTTTATTAATTTTTTAAACAATATAAAGCAGAGGCAATAAAACATGCCCACACAGGGGCTATCAATTGCACAGATAAAAAAAAAAGCAAACTAAAAAAAAAAAGGAAAATCAGTGCTCTAACGCCAACAGGGCAAAAGGTACGCCCGCGCAGGGGCTATCAATGGCACATAAGTTGCAAAACATTAATGTAACTGCCTATAACAACTAAATGCAGCTGTCCAGTCACACACCAAAAACAGAGAGAGAGAGAAAAAAGGAAGAAAGAGGAAAGAAAAAAAAAAAGGGGGGGGCAAAGAGCAGGGGTCCAAGAGCACCAATACCGAACGCCATTACATCCCCAGACTAGCCGGGGGGAGTGTGGGAAAGGCATATTGCAACCACGGCTCCCATATTTTCAAAAATTTACGTTGGGAGTCGTTGCAGATACTCGACATCTGTTCGTTGAGCATCATAGTGGTCATACGATCCCGCACCCCCTGAAGAGGGACAAACGGACTCTTCCAGGCCTGAGCAATTGTTCTAGTGGCCGATAAAAACAGATAGGAAACCAACTTCTGCTGGTGAGCCAAGAGGCCCGGTATGGGGCAATGAAGCAAAGCATACCAAGCATCCCGGCGTATGGAGAGATGGAACAAGGTGAAAAGGATGCCAAACACACACGAGACCAAAAATGAAAACAGTGTCGGGCATGACCACCAGATATGAAATACATCTCCACGATGGCCACAACCCCCGAAAACATTTCATCACTACAGGCAGGGTTAGCCCGGGCCAACCGAGCCGGAAACCCAGTACCAACGAAACAACACCTTATAGGCTGCCTTCAGTGTGGTCGTATTAAATGAGCATTTAGCTATGAGTGACCAGGCCTTATTCCAGTCCTCCGGATCCAGAGCCACTCCCAGGTCACGCTCCCACTGAACAACATATGAAAGAGAAGTATGCGACGAGCGTCTGTTCAGAGCTGCATAAAGAAGGGATATAAGGCCCGGAGCACCCGGATGCTGTTGGCAAAGCTGTTCAAAGGCAGATTTCTGGTAGAGCACAATTTTTAAACTGTCTTTGTATGCTGTAGAATAAACAGTAAACTTCAATGGCTCCACCCTATTGTATAATAGGGTGGAGGGGTATTCATGCATTTTGGCTATATAGTGTAGATGCAGTCAGGTGTTTACAACCTTTTGGGTTGATTTACCAAAGGCATATAGACTGCACTTTGCAAGTGCAGTTGCTCCAGAGCTTAGTATATGAGATAAAACTTCACTTTGCAAAGATTACCCAATCACAAGCAAGAAAATAAAAACAAAAAAAAAAACAGCATTTTGCTTGCAAATGATTGGATGATGGAACTCAGCAGAGCTTCATTTATCATGCTCTGGAGCCACTGTACTTTCGAAGTGCACAGTCTAATTGCCTTTAGTAAATCAACCCCAATGTGTAACTTTAGTTACGCATAAATGGTTTATTCTCTTAGATTTTAATAGCAATGTTCACATGAAAAATTAAAAAGTTTCAGCATGCCGTAGCCTTAAGATTTGACCCTATTTCTAATTCCCTGGGTTTTCCCATCATAAAAATGTTTAGCTGCAGTATTGTTATTGCTGTTTTTCCATGTAAATGGTGTTCTAGGATAGCTGTATTTCCAGAAGTGGCCTGAACTTATCTTGGAAACATGAATAATGGAGGAGCAAGGGTACTAATTTTAGGTTTAACTGTAGTACCCTTTATGTGATTGTATGTGCTTGCTCTAAAAAAGGGCGGTGATCACTTATAATTTAAAATGGTGAACTCCTTTAATGCCACAGTCACATAAACGGCCTTATAACACTTTCTGTGTTGTGTAGCAACAAAAGGGCACCACCACCTATATTTCTGCATCCAGGAAATAAAAATGTAAATTGCAAATCCGTGCGGGCCGTGTTTTGCACGGGCATGAGAGCCCATTCATTTGAACGGACTCCCGTACCCATGACACGCAGGGAAGAGAAGTCCCTGCACTTCTTTGGAAAACGCAGTCCACATGGGAACTTCGGTTCCCAATACGGTTGCGTTTTCCAGTGCGGGCGGCGTGCCATTAGAACTAATGGCACCCGCCTGCGGGTCCGCATTCCTCTGGTGTGGCTGCACGGATTTTTGTGCGGATCTGCAGCGGGCACCACCCGCACAGATGTGACATAGAGTAAAAGTAATCGTGGCTTCCAATTGACACTGCCACAAGCTGACATTTATGTCGGAAAATTGTAGCACATAATTAACATAATTCCTGTTTTAAAACCCTAATGAGAACACTTCTATGATATACCTTTTTTCATGTTCGGGGTAAATATTCCCAGCATTAAAACGTGATCATCCAGTAATGATTTCTTCAGCATCTTTTCACTCAGAAAATCTTCTGCTTCTTCCACTGTATTCAGCTGCAGGGGGCATTCCTGCGTCATCCTGGTAATAATAAACAGCCTATGTGGGTAGTGATAAGCTTCACATGGAAATAAAATAGAAGGAAGGGTTAAAAAAGGAGAAGGGAGAAGAGGGGAAAACAGAGAGAATAGAGAAGGGAAGGAAAGAGGGTAGGGCAGAGAGGGAGAAGAAAGAGGTGTAAAGTGAGGAGATCAGGAAGATGAGACCGAAAAGAAAAGAGGTAAGAAGAAGGGAGAACAGGCAAGAGAGAGACAGAAAAGAAGGAAGAAAGATGAAGATTGGGGGAGAGATGAAGAGGAAAGAAAGATGAAGAAAGGGGAGAGAAGAAGAGGGAAGAAAGAAAGATGAAGTAGGGCCAGAGAAGAAGAGGGGAAAGAAGAAGAAAGGAGGAGAGAAGAAGAGAAGAGGAGGAGAGAAGAAGAGAAGAGGAGAAGATAAGAAGAGGAGAAGATATAAGAAGAGGAGAAGATAAGAAGAGGAGGAGAGAAGAAGAGAAGAGGAGGAGAGAAGAAGAGAAGAGGAGGAGAGAGAGAAGAGGAGAAGATAAGAAGAGGAGGAAGATAAGAAGAGGAGGAGAGAAGAAGAGGAGGAGAGAAGAAGAGAAGAGGAGGAGGAGAGAAGAGGAGGAGAGAAGAAGAGGAGGAGAGAAGAAGAGAAGAGGAGGAGGAGAGAAGAGGAGGAGAGAAGAGAAGAGGAGGAGAGAAGAAGAGAAGAGGAGAAGATAAGAAGAGGGGAGGAGAGAAGAAGAGGAGGAGAAAAGAAGAGAAGAGGAGGAGAGGAGGAGAGAAGAAGAGAAGAGAAGAGAAGAGGAGAAGAGAAGAAGAGGAGGAGAGTAGAAGAGGAGGAGAAAAGAGAACAAGAGAAGGAGAAGAGGAGCAGAAGAGAAGAGTGAAGAGGAGGGAAGAGAAGAGAAAGGAGAGAAGAAAGAAGAGAAAGAAGAGGAGAGAGAAAAGGAAAAGAAAAGATGATAGAGGGGCGGGGAGGAGAGAGTAGAGGGAGGGTAAAGAGAAAAAAGGAAAGGTGGGGGGGGGGGGGGGAGAAAGAGAAGGGAGGAGACAAATTCATTCAATTATGTCCCGCTGTATAGATAACTGTGCATGTAGGTAAAAAATTTTCTGTGTTCTGCTCTCCCTCCAGCCCTCCCCATTATACTTATCTGAGCCTAATCTCAATCCAGTGCTGTGCACGAGAGCAGCGGCTCTCTCTGCTCTCTCCTTCATAGGTTCAGAGACAGCAGCGGGAGCCGCTGACTCCTGCTGCTGTCAGTCACAGCCAGTGAAGAGGGAACGGGGAGCGGGGCTGAACCTCGCTGTGTGTGAGATAATGGAGCAAGTCCATGCTAGTGCCCCCATAGCAAGTGTCTTGCTATGGGGGCACTCGGCAGGGGGCAAGGAGCCAAGAGTGCCAGCAGGGTACCCCAGAAGAAGAGAATGGGGGCTGCAAAACTTCTGCACAGAGCAGGTAAGTATAACATGTTTGTTATTTTAAAACAGTAAAATCCAAATCTTTACAATCACTTTAAATGTCAGCCTTTTACATCTGCCCAGCTTCTGATTTATATGAAGGAAACATACGAAAATGATGTCCTGGATACTAATCTTTAATCAGAACACAATCTATTTCTGCAGAAACTTAGCAGTCTGTAGGACCTCTCCACTTCCTAATTACATAGCTTGTTTATTTTATTATGCCTTTATTCAATGATCAGCTTCCCCTAATTTCCTTCCGTGATAAATGCTCTGAGCAGAATATCAGTTTACAGACATCAGGAATTACGTGTAATTAAACATGTAAAGCAACAGTCACATCTGCCATGCATAATATGTGCTCTCCATTACCATGCTCAGCAAGTCTAAAAAGATACTTTAGGATGTTCATTCTATTGTCTGAATGGAAAGCAGCGAAGAATTGTGTAAAAGCATTTCTAAAGATTTTTTTGTTTTTAAAATAAAAAACATCTTATACTTACTTGCTCTGTGCAATGGTATTGCACAGAGCAGTCCTCTTCTGTGTCTGCCCCCATAGCAAACCCCTTGCTATGGGAGCAGACGTGCAGGCCTGATCACAAACCACAGCCTGGCTCGGTCCCGACCTCGCTCCCTCCTAACAGCATTTGACTGACCACAGCAGGAGACACTGACAACCACTGCTACCCCAGTCCCTGTGAGTAAAGGGAGAGGGGAGAGAGAGATGCAGCCATGCACAACACTGGGTCGACTGAGGTACCTATTTAGGGGGTGGAGGAGCACAGCAATTTGTAAAATGCTTTTTTACCTTAATGCAGGGAAGACATTAAAGCTTTGTTTTCTTTAATTAAAATAACAAACATCATACTTATCTGCTCTGTGCAGTGGTTATGCACAGAGCAGCCCCGATCCTCCTCTTCTGGGGTCCCGGCCCCTCCTCTTTGGCCTCTTCGGCATCTGCATACATTGTCACGGAGTGGATGGCTTGGCCCCACTCCCTCGGCACAACATATGATTGACAGCAGTGGGAGCCAATGGTTCCCGCTACTATCAATCTGCCCAGGGAGGAGGGAGACAGCCAAAAGAGCCGCTGCTCTTATGTACATCGCTGTATCAGATTGGGCTAAAGCAAGAATAAGGAGGGGCTAGGGGAAATTCTGCAGCACAAAAAGGTTTTTCATCTTAATGCACAGAATTCATTTAGATGAAAAACCTTAAAGAATAAGTTCACCTTTTAGAAAAAAAAAAATAAATGCACATTTTCTGCAGGCAAAAACAAATGTGCATTTATTATGTTTGTCTGCAGGAGCCTGTAAACCACTGCAGCAGCGATCAACAGATTATGGATGCCATGCAGGTCTCCTGCAGATCTGTCGGTATATCTGCTTGCTCGTATGGGATGTAGGGGCAAGCAGATATACTGACAGGAAGAATGAATGAACGAGCATAGTTTACCGACGACTACAAGCTGACAGCCGCTAAGGCTGTCGGGACTTGTAGTCTCTCATTCACAATGAATGTGAATGAGTGACGTGGCTGTGTGGGCGGAGCCACCATTTCAAAAAATTTGACAGCTAGCAAGGGAGGAGAAGATCCACGAAAAGGTAAGTTTTAAAGCAAGCCAACAATCCCCGCAAGATGGGGAGCATAATGGTTCGGACTCCGATCCATTATGCTCAATCTGCAGATCCGATCTATCCCGCGGGGATTGTCGGCTTGCTTTAAAACGTACCTTTTCGTGGAGCTTGCAAGCCGACGATCCCCGCAGGATGAATCGGATCTGCGGATTGGGAAGGATAATGGATTGGACTCCGATCTATTATGCTCAATCCACAGATCCGATCCATCCTGCGGGGATCGTCGGCTTGCTTTAAAACTTACCTTTTCGTGGAGTGGGTCCGGTGTCACCCCATGCAATAGGTGTCACCCGGTGTGGCACGCACCCCCCGTACCTGCCTAGGGACGCCCCTGCCTGCACTGGCCCTCTCAAACAATAAACACTTACAGCATGAGAAAGTTGGCCAATTCATCCGTTCCCATCATTCCCGTGTACAAAATTGGCTCCTGTCCCATCTGGTAGATCTTTATCACAGGAATGATGGTAATATTCTCCTTAGTGCACACATCTGTCCAATCTGCGCAGTTCACTCTGGCCAAAGACACATCCTGCAGGTCTAAAAGAAGGAAAAAGAAGGCCGTAAGAGATTATAAATACACTACTTTAGTTCCTGTGCTTTTCTCTCCAGATATAGGTATAGAACCATCTTTGCCCAGGCATCATACAGTCAGCATCTACCTACTACGGGGCAGAGATGCCAGGTCAGGGATGACACAATCATAGAGATGCTGGTGCCTGTGCAGTTCTTGGCTTTGTTCGCACATTTCTTGCACGGATTATTATTATTATACAGGATTTATATCGCGCCAACAGTTTGCGCAGCGCTTTACAATATAAGCGAGACAGTAAAATTACAATACATTTCAGTACAGAAGGAATAGGAGGGCCCGGCTCATGGAGCTTACAATCTAAAGGAAGGGGGAGAGGTGATACAAAAGGTGATAGCTGTAGGGGATGATCTGGTGGAGGCGATTCAGGTACAGTTCTTAGGTGGAGGTGGGGTAGGCTTCCCTGAATAAGTGAGTTTTCAAAGATAGCCTAAAGGTTGACAGGGTGGGGGCTGACAGGACATACTGTAGTAGGGAGTTCCAGAGGATGGGAGAGGCTCTGGAGAAGTCCTGGAGGTGACGAGGTGATGAGGGAGCTAGAGAGGAAGATATCTTGGGAGGAGCAGAGTGGGCGATTGGGGCGATATCTGCGGATGAGGTTGGCGATGTAGCTAGGGGCAGTGTTGTGGATGGCTTTGTAAGCCTCTGCTGCAAATTCTCCTCTGTTGCTGGAAGCGTAATCAGTTGTGTAACGTGGGTCATGCAACATACTGCCACCAGGCTCAGAGTAGCCAGACCTCAACAGACAGATTTACAAGCTGGACAAAGCAATGCTTATTTTAATAAATGTCCTTTTATAGTCCCAAACTCAGCTCCACTGGAGGCATGTCTGGGGAGATGGGTGTCAAATATATGCCAACACGCATGACAGTGCCAAGCACTGAGCTGTCTCACATGTTTCATCTCTCACATCACCGCACCCTAATAATTTCACCATTCTCTGTATGTCATCATTTAACTAGATGTAAACTCCAACTGAATGACATTTAGTTTGCTAAAGCACTGCCTAACTTACACAACTGCCATTTTTAAAATAAATGTTTTTTTGTCATTTTTTTGGCACCTCAGTGCTTCTCACCTCCTGTAGCCTCTTTCTTTCTAAACACATGCACTCCAGAGATGTCTGCATGGTGTTATCAGGGTGGGTCTTGTGATGGTGACAACAGTGGACCATGCCTTTGTAATGTGTGTTTAAACAGCCACTTTTAGTCTCCTTCAGATGCCTATCTGTATAACAGTGTGACAAAATAGGGGACTTGTCAGAAAACAGGCACAGAGCGTTGTCAGTGTCACCCTATAACAAGAGGAGAAAAAGCCTTCATGTCAGGATCACCAGTGATTGGCCTAATAAAAAGTTACAAATGTAAACAATTTGTTAAAAATGATGTCTGTGAGGGTTCTCATTAATCCAAGTCATGGTATAGCTCTAGTAGTATTATTTATTTCATTTCAGGTACTTATACAGCGCCTTCCATTTACTCAGCGCTTTACATACATATTGTACATTCACATCAGTCTCTAACCCTCAAGGAGCGTACAATCTAAGGTCCCTAACTCACATTCACACGCACACATACTAGGGACAATTTAGACAGGATCCAATTAACCTATCAGCATGTCTTTGGAGTGTGGGAGGAAAAACCAAAGTACCCAGAGGAAACCCACGCAAGCACAGGGAGAACATGCAAACTCCATGCAGGAGGCGCCATGGTCGGGAATCGAACCCATGACCAATTTATTGCAAGGCAGACTTGCTAACCACTAAGCCGATGTGCCGCCCAGTAGTAGTTATATTCAATTGAATTGCTTCTGTAATGTTGAAGAAAATTTGTATCTCATCTAAACCACTTTCTTTATTCTAATGAGTGTCAAGGACATACCCAGCATTTATATTCACACAGGTAACACAGACAGACACCTTAATCCATCCACCATGTAAAGTATCAAGACAGAGGTTGATCCTCCAAGAAGAGGATGGGAGGTGTCAAAGTTGTAGAACCGCCCTGTCTCAGTTACGTCATTCCATCCTTGGTGTCAGGAAGTCTGCATAGGTCCTAAAAGGTAAGTTGGGCTTTGGAACATGCTGCATGTTCCACCAGTTTTTAGGGTAGAACATGTAACATGTTCTAGCACCTGCAGCCCCCCCCCCCCCCCCCATTAAAGTGGGTGGGACAATCTCCTCCCCACACTCGCCATCACAATTTGAAACCAGCGCATCTGTGCAGGGCTCCTCCCACACGGCTGCATCATTCATTCACAGTGTTCTGTGAATGATCGTCTACAAGTACCGCCAACCATTGCAGCTGAAGGCCTGCAGTTCTCAATGAACTATGAGGGCGTTGGTGAGCACTCTCATAGCCCATTGATCTTCCTGCTCCCAGGTAAATGCCTCTCCATACAGGGTAGGAGCAGACATCTATCCTGAGAGTCTGCAGAAGCCTGAGATTACACCCGCGATCTGCAATATCTGCAGGCTCCTTAGAAAAAATTAATAAACGTACATTTTTCTACCTGCAAAAAATGTGCATTTAATATTTTTTTTTTTTAAAAGGTGAACCTATCCTTTAATTCTTCAATTTACATGGCTAAAGGTGTGAATTGTCAAATCACCAGGGAAAAAAAATGGTAAAACAACATTATATGTGAATACGGCTGCCAGACTCATTCACCTTTCCAACCGCTCCATTTCCGCCACCCCCCTCTGCCAATCCCTCCACTGGCTTCCGATTGCACAACGGATCAAATTCAAAATCCTAACATTGACGTACAAAGCTGTCCACCATACTGCCCCGAACTACATCTGTCAGGAATGGACTAGCCAGCAATGGTGGGACTCACCTGCCTTTTGATCTGCAGTACCAGGGCTGGCCAGCGGGTGCTCCCAGCAATCAGAGACTCAACTTTGCAGCCAGCTAACACCTGGAACTGATTATGCTGGGGTATTTAAGGGATGGCCAGACTTGCAGACTCTGCCTTGGTGTTGTGTTCTCTTGGGCCCTGTATCCTGGTCCTGCTCTCTGTTCCTGTCTGATTCTCTGCTGACCCTGCTCTGATCCCTGGCTTGTCTGACCATCCCTCTGCCTGACCCTCTGTACTACGCTGCTTGCTACCTGTTCTGATCCCTGGCTTGTGACCCTGACCATCCCTCCGCCTTACCCTCTGTACTACGCTGCTTGCTACCTGCTGAACCTGGCCTGTGACCCCGACCAATCTCCGCTTGCTCCCCCTGTACCTACCTGCCCTATTGATATTGACCCGGCCTGCCTGACGACGCTTGCTTGTATGTACTGTTATCTGTGGGTGGTTGGTTTGGTTTGGTTGCACTGTATTATGTTTTAGTATTGCACTGCGTTTATGTTTCTATTGTTAGTGTTAATAAATTATATTGTTTATAACATATCTGAGGTCTGCGTTTCCCTGCGTCAGCCACACACCTCTGGTCATACCTGGGAGCCCTGACATTACACCAAGGCCAATCCTGACCAGAAGTGGCTGCACAGGGAAGCCATCTTGGCTTGTTGCTGGGAAGGATGGATCTTGATGAGGTTGTGTATTTATATCTGCTAGTGTTTGATGACAGGGAGTATGCTTATCAAACTCTGAAGGAGTATCCCCGGGATCAACTACTAGAATGTATACGGCTCGCTCATGTTCTAGTAGATCAGGGCACAGAGTTCTCTGAGGTGCAGCCTTTGATTGAGGTTTGTGCAGAGTTGGTTTCATCTGGTTCCCCTGAATGCAGGGATGAATTTTTGCCACCATTTAGTGCAGACCAGGTAGAGTCCCTGGTGTGGTTATTAGAGGATGATGTGGGTTACTTTCTGGAGCGTTATTCCACATGTTCACCACAGACACTAAGAGATTGTATAAACGCAGTGCAGTCTTTGGTCAGACAGGCTTTGTGTAAGCTCAGCTTTGTTCAACCCCTACTGCAGACATGGACAGACTTGTTGCACCCAGCCTCAGTCAGCTTACAAAAACCCAGTCCTGCTTCTAACTCTACTCCTGTATTCCCACCAGCTCCTCCAGTTACAGCCCAGTATACTTGGCTATCTACCGCATGTCAGTACCCTGTTCCCACTCGCTGCACCTATCCTGCCTTTAACCCTGTAAAAAAGCCCTCTGTAGCAACTGCTCCCTCTCCTGTTCCATCCTCCAGTTTTTCTCTGTCTCCAGCTGCTCCATTCGTTTGCAGACCTGCGTTTACTTGCAGTGCTCCAGTAGTTAAAACCAGAAAAAAGCGAAAATTCTTTCCAACCAATACCATCCTGCCAGTATCCAAACCGGTGAACCTGCCTTCCGTGACTCAGCCGGAAGCCTCTACTCAGCCGGAAGCCTCTACTCAGCCGGATGCCTCTACTCAGCCGGAAGCCTCTACTCAGCCGGATGCCTCTCTTCAGCCGGATGCCTCTACTCAGCCTGATGCCTGCATTCAGCCTGATGCCGCTACTCAGCATGATGAACTGATCCAGCCCGACGATCCTATTAGGCCAGTTGACTCGATGCCCGCTGTTTATCCAGATGATCCGGTACCTGATCCAGTGCCCGCTGTCGTGCCAATTGACTCAGAGCCCGCTGTCATACCTGGTGACCCGATGCCCGCTGTCGAGCCAGACAATCCGATACCTGATGACCCGGTGCCCACGGTCGTGCCTGTTGACTCGGTGCCCACAGTCTTGCCAGACGACTCGGTGCCCGCAGTCTTGCCAGTTGACTCTATGCCCGCTGTTCCGCCAGTTGACTCGATGCCCGCAGTCTTGCCAGACGACTCGGTGCCCGCAGTCTTGCCAGACGACTCGGTGCCCGCAGTCTTGCCAGACGACTCGGTGCCCGCAGTCTTGCCAGACAACTCGGTGCCCGCTGTTCCGCCAGTTGACTCGATGCCCGCAGTCTTGCCAGACGACTCGGTGCCCACTGTCGTACCTGGTGACTCGGTGCCCGCCGCTTC